AAGGACATCAGGTGACATCACGAGGTACCCGTTAACAATAAGAGGAGTTTATAACAAATTTACCTGCAATTTACCCTTTATGTGGGCTCAAAGGAATCGGACAACCAAACAGGGTGAAAATACATGTTGTATATAGAAAGGAAGCCTGACTCTTCACCGCCCTAACTGATGCACGCGTGGAGCGAATTGCGAAAAATTTATAACATTGCTCAAACTACACAAAAAAACGAAGAAGCTTAGCTTGTACCAGGCAGTATTGTCTCCTATGCTGACTTCCTTTTGGCTCGTTACGCAACCCTCTCCAACTAGATTACAAGTAGTCTCTTGATCCTCAGGGATAGTGGATCGAGCGAATTACGCGAGCGCGCATGAAATTTGTCACACTCGAGGAAGGTGACAAACGTTCCTCTATTTTAATCGCTCAAATATGCTAGAGGAAAATAAGGGGGTCACTCGTAGTCTATCCTCAGTAGTATATTAGGCATAGAATCAGCCTTTTTTGCGGTGGAATCTTCGCTGGAATGCATAAACGCTGATGACGTCATAACCTTTTGTCTTTCTCTCATGAATAAAATGCAGTTGAATCTCTTGAAAGGGTTAAATATAGCACACGGCCTTATCTTAGGGCCAGTTTAGAGGTGGAGGACCCTAAGTAGGTGAGGTAACCCGCTGCTGGTCACCCCAGCTATCATGTAAACGTGGTCAAATTAAAATGGGACATTATGTGGATAGGCGGGTTACCCCACATAAGCGGGTTACCTCACCTGCCTGGGGTCCCCCACCTCCATGTACACAGGCCCTAAGATAAGGTCGTGTACTATTTTCAACCCTGTGGACAGGTTTTCCAGTTATTTCTTGGTCGATGAAGGTCTTGCTTTTTGATTGGTTGACGACTACATGTAAGAACAAGGAAAAGTATTCATTGGTTCATTCAGGTTGTCGAAGGAATAATCGGTAACTCGCCTGTGACGTAGTTATGCAAGTTACATTTCATACCACTTTCATTGTTATATAAGTTGTTCCGGTTTACTATGCGCGCAAATCGTTAATTTTTATGAGTACGAAGCCACACTAGCCCTTTCTACCACGAAAAACATTTTTCCACTTTCCCACATCCCTTTTTCCTTTTCCACATTTCATTGTTTCACATTGTTTCCTTCCACCACGACAACTACGTTTCTATTGTTGTCTCTCAGCGCGAGTTTATGGTGAACGTGGTAAAGAAAAGAAAACTTAACTTTGTAAATCTTCTAACGTGATTTAAAAGAATTGTGTGACGAACTGAACGGAGGGCTGCTTAGAAGGCTATCCTCTTTACTTTTATTCACGCCGTAGTACTTGCTAGGCAGACTACGCAACTTTTTCTTTATATGCATCCCCACGCAAAAACGGAAAATTCAAGATCCTTTTCTTGGTTTGTTAATTAAAGTATTAAATAAAATAACCAACAATTTACAAGTACATTCATTAACTGGCTCAAAATTCTCCCAAAATATCACTATTTTAAGAAAGCTTTGTTATTTTCCTTCACCTTATTCTGTGTTAGGTTCCTAAGGTTGCCAAGCACTGGAAGGAAGTTAAAGAAAGCGGTGTTCTCTCCATGGAACTGGTTGATCTTGTGTTTTTCAACTTTCTCTTGAAGGGTGTCGCCAGGAAAGACATTCTTGATTTGATGGAACAATTTGGATTGATTGCAAAATTTTCATCTTCAAAGACAGGTGATAAGTATTTTGTTCCATCTCAACTCAAAGCTTCGCCTGATTCCCTTTGTTCAATGGCGCCTACAAGGCTGGACCCATGTCCCCTGTATGTTTTCTTTGTCAGCGGTTCTGTTCCCCATGGTCTGTTTACACGGCTTGTTTCTCGATCTGTCCGTTGGTGTTCTGAAGCTGGTCCAACTCAGTCCCCTACCCTGTACCAAAATGGAGCGTGGTTTGTTATTGGGAAGCAAACTTTTCATGATTTTGTTCTTATTTCTAAGAAGCAGTTTATCAAGTTTTTTATCAAGCAAAGAAACCAACTTCAGCAGATCTCTGTGGATGACACAAGTGAGGTGGCAGTGCAGGTTCGTGAGTTTGTGGAGGCAACTTTGCAAGTTTTGTCACGTGATCTCTATAAAGGTGGATTGCAGTATCATATTCGGGTCGCCTGTCCGTATTGTCACCGGGAAAAGTGTTCAAGCCATAATCAGATTGCATGTTCTCAAGAAGATTGTCTTCACCTCCTTGAGTTAAGACAAGGCGATCCTCTGATTTGCAAGAAGAAACCTGCAGACGAGGTACTCAGGGTTACGGGACAAGAACAGTGGTTCTCACAAATAGAAAGTAAGGTAGGTAGTAGTGAAATGCAATCTCTAGCAGTGCTGTTAACATATTACATGTCAATCGAATACACATACTACTTAAAATTGTGTCTTTAAAGAGTAGCTACTGTAGCCATATATTTAAACAGACTTCAACAAAGTCTATGGATGTGCTTTGTTAAGGTTATAGTATGAGGTTTAACGTATGCCTTTATTTATCCTACCACGAGCTCCACTGGAGTGTAAGAGAAGGCCTTGTTGCTATCAACTTAGCGAACACTGGTACTTAATATCAAGTAAGTTGATGAGATCAATTGGCTACCATGTATTAGTAATTGTTATTGGCCTACATAGCAGTGGGCATATAACTTTTTCTTAAAGTCTTTGTAAATGTGCTGTTTTGCTTTGCGGTTGAGCAATAAGTTTGTAGCATCTACCGTGTTGATAAAATGTTTTGCAAACTTTCATTCGAAAAGGTAGAAGCCCCCAGATGCAACATTTCTAATTTAAAGTATCCAATTTTGGTTTCCATGCAGGAAGCGTGTTCTCCATCATCATCAGCTGATACTGCAGAGCTTCGTTCAGAGCGTCTGGTACTGAAAGTTACCCTTCTAGCGAATGAGTGGGGCTCGTCCAAGGGTGGCTTGTCAACAATAAACAGGACTCTTGCCATACATTTGGCAAAAGACGAAAACGTAGAAGTGACCATTCTTGTACCTGAATTTGAGTGTGGAGAAAAAGACAAGAGAGTTGCCAAAAGTCACAACATTTCCATCAGGGAAGCAGGGCATCTACCTGGCTTTAGTGATCCTCTCGACTGGTTGAGCTATCCACCAGAAGACCTTGACATTCAGGTTGTGATCGGCCATGGAGCAAAGCTTGGTAGACAAGCACAGATTATCAGAAAGTCTCATCGATGCAAGTGGGTGCA